ATGTTGCAAGGAGGGACAGGTCCTTGGAGAGGGACATCATGCTTGGAAGGGTGGCGGGACGGCACAAGAGGGGGGAAGGCCCTCTGAGATGGATTGATTGAGTGACTGGGGTAATCGGGATGGGTGTGTCAGAGGCAGTGCGATTGGCACAGAATAGAGCTGGGTTTAGGGCTGCTATACACAGGGTTGCTATGAGTCGCAAACGACTCAACGGCATATAAAAACTTAACAACAACAACAACATTGCTTTATGGGCGTTGGTCGTGGATTCCATTAAATTGAAATCCTGGACAACTTCAGGTTTCTTTCTCCATTAATTATGGTTGTGTTTATTGACCAGCTGTGACGATTTTTATTTTCTTTATGTTGAGATATAATCCGTGCCAAAGGCTATCTAGTCTTTGACTTTCATTAGTAACTACTTCAGCTCCTCTCCACCTACAAGTATTGCAGGTTATTAATGAAACTTTCTCCAGTCTTGATGCCATGTTCTTCATGTAGCCCTGTTCCTTATAAGATTTGCTCACCATACAGATTGAGTATGTAAGGTAAGAGGAAAAAACCCTGACCCACAACTTTCCTGATTTTTAAGCTATGCTGTGTCCCCCTGCTCTGTTTGAAGGACTAGCTCTTGTTGTGAGTACAGGCTTTGCATGAGCACAGTTAAGTGGTCTAGAGGTCTCACTCAGTTTTATCCCTAATTTGTCTAATACCTTTTAATAAACATCTTTCAGCCAAGTTGCAGCTGACCTTAGTAATGATATCCCTCCTTTCATGAACCAGACTGGATTTCCTGGCATTTCCCTAACAGTGCACTCCTTCCACCTCTTTTGAATTATCTTCAGCACAGTTGTACTTTGATGTGATTATCAATGATATTGTTTAATAATTTCTGCATCCTCTTGGAACCCCTTTTTCTAGAATAGGCATAAATAAGGATCTTTTCCAGTTGTTGGGCAGGTAGCTGTCTTACTTGCTGCTCGTCATAGATAAGTGGGGGCTTCCAGCATTGGATCTATTTGTTGAAACGTCCCAATTGGGAGTTTCGTCAGTTCCTGGTGCCTTGTTATTTTGCCACTGTCTTCAGTGCAGCTGGAATTCTTCCTTGGGTTTTGATCATGTGCTATACAAATGGTTGAATGTTGAGCAATTCTTGTTGGTACATTATCTCTGTATTCCTTTCATCTTTTTTTGATGCTTTTTGTGCTATTCACCATTTTGTCCCTATAATCCTTTATAGGCTAGGTTTAGAAGGGGTTGTGGTACTAGGGATATTGTAGCTGATGTTAGATGGATCTTAGCTGAAAGCAGAGAATACCAGAGGAATGTCTATCTGTGTTTCGTTGACTATGCAAAGGCATTTGACTCTGTGGATCATAACAGACTGGCTGACTCTAAGAAGAATGAGAATCCCAGAAGACTTGATCGTTCTAATGTGAAACCTATACTTGAACCAGGAGGCAGTCATCAGAGCAGAGCAAGGGAACACTGCATCGTTCAAAATTGGGAAGGACATATGCCAGGGATGCATCCTATCTCCAAACCTTTTCAGCCTGTATGCAGAACAGATTATCCTGGAGGCTGGGCTCTCTGAGGAGTTTAGGCCTGTTGTACATAGGGTTGCTGTGAGTCGTAGGCGACTCGAGAGAACATAACAACAACAACAACAACAATCCTTTATTACTACAGCCAAAGACTGGCATTTTTCCTTCAGTTCTTTTCAGATTGAGAAATGTCAACAAGTTTTTCCCTTTTGATCTTTAACTTTTATGTTTTTGCAGATTTCATTACAAACTTTCTTTTTTCAATCTACCCTTTGAAATCTCTGTTTTAGCTTTGTCTTATCCCTCATTGACTTTAGCTCTCCCACACTAAAGAACAACTTTCAGTTTCTCCATCCATTTTGGTCTTTTTTTGTCTTTCCTGTGTTTTTTAGTGACCTTTTGCTTTTGTTTTTCCTGTGCTTTTCAATGCCCCTGATATTGTGTATCAGTTCTAGAGATGGTCTCTAAAATCAGGAGATGTAAAACCAGTGAGGGCAGCTGAATCTGACCTCCACTGACTCCATACAGAGTCATCCACAACATTAGCAGCACAAAACTGATTCCCATGAGACCAGACGTGGGATCCCAGCCAATGCTTACTGCTACCATTTCTGTCATCAGCCGTTTTTAGGGTTCTCACTGCTTTCCTACTGGGTACTAATCCATTGCAGTAGCGACATAGCCCATAGACAATGCTCATGATTATGGGAAATAGTAGGGGAGTTAACAGGTTGGAAATAGGACACAGCTTTCAGTCAGGGCAGCTTATCAGGTGTGTTCTCAGACACTTAGACCTTAGCCTCTAGGCTCTCAATATTACACAGCTTTTTTGATTGTGCCAGTTATGGACTCTTCCCTCCCTAGTCTTCCACTAAGCTTGGTGAAGGCCTTCAGCTCTGGCTTTGTGTGGGTAGCAGTCCCAGTTCAGCTCTGTCTTACATCAGCCTCTGTTTCTTAACTGTTCTCGTCTCAGTCCTGGTCTGACTGGTACAGGAATTTCTGCTCTAAATGGACACATGGTGAACTCTGACTCTTCTTTCTTGCTGGTATGTTGTTGGTGTTATGTGTTGTTATGAGATGTATATATGTTGTTGTTGTTATGTATTGTTATGAGATGGACTGATTCGGTGACTGGGGTAATCGGGATGGGTGTGTCAGAGGCAGTGCGGTTGGCGCAGGATAGAGCAGGGTTTAGGGCTGTTGTACATAGGGTCGCTATAAATCGCAAACGACTCGACGGCACATAACAACAACGTTTCAGTTAATCCCTTATATGTGGATATTGAAATTTAAATTTTATATCATTTCTATTTGTCACAAAACATTTTTCTTTTTTTTTAAGGAGATTAAAAATGGGACATGCAAGAACAAAGGATAGGCTATATAGTTTGCTAACCTTTACTTTGGACATGTTGCAAGGAGGAACCAGTCCTTGGAGAGGGACGTCATGCTTGGCAGGATGGAGAGACAGTGCAGGAGGGGAAGACCCTCAATGAGATGGATTGATTCAGTGACTGGGGTAGTAGGGTAGGTGTGTCGGAGATGAGGAGATCGGCACAGGATAGGGCAGAGTTTAGGGCTGTTGTTGTACATAGGGTTGCTATGAGTCGCAGACGACTTGATGGTACATAAGAACAACAACAACAATGATTCTGTTAATAACAATGCATGTAACAGGATTGTTGTTGCTGGCTGCTATGAATTTCAGCTCATATTGACTCCATGTGTTGGAGTGAATGTCTCAGTAGGGTTTTCTTAGGCTTAAATATTCCAGGAGCAGATCACAAGGTCTGTCTTCCATGGAGCCACTGGATGGCTTTGAACTGTTGACCTTTTTGGTTAGCATCTGAGTGCTTAACTGTTGCTGAGATTCCTTTGTAATGTGGTAGTAAAATGGATTATCTGTCCCAAGGGCTAGTGCTCTTTATATCACTTAATATCTAGAAAAGTTTAAAACTAGAAAATCTCCTTTATTTTTCTAGGAGAGATGAGAAGAAAATAATAGTCACAATATGAGAGATGGTATGTAGTTAAGATTTGATGGAGTTAGACCACTAATATTTTCTGGAATGTTCGAAAAAACAAAATTGGCACCATTAAGTTCAGGTACAGTTCCTGGAACTTAGAAGTAGGAAATATGCAGTACTTGATAGGGCTTCTGGGTTTCATGGCAAAGCTTTTGGAATATTCTACATTCATCCACACTTTGCCATATGCCTTTGTAAGAAGTTACACTGAGTCCTGAGTATGTTTCCATGTGTAAGTATAGAAGAAAATAAAATGCAAGAACTTAAGAAATAGCATAGATTTGATCACTTTGTGGCAACAAATCTTTGAATCTCAAAAATGAACTTAAATGAGGAAAGCATTACCAGTTAAGATTTAGTGTTAGCAAGGGTTTTAGAAAGGTTGTAAAAGAAAAAAGTGTTCACGTTTCTGATCCAAAAATGTAGACAGGGTTTTTGGTGAAGTTCATTCTTTTTACAGCCTTGTGAAAATGCTGCTTGCTTGGCTTGGCTTTTGGTCCAGCTTCTAGAGCAGAGGGGAGAATGATGAGCTTGGAAAGAAAGACTTCCAATGAGCAGGATGGCTAGTAATATAAAGGATAGAGAACTTTTTTTGAACCGGATGAATCAAATTTGATGAAGATTAGATGGAGGAAGAGCAGAATCAGAAAAAAAAATTTGTTTGTGAGCAGGAGCTCAGAAAATGGAGCTGATGAGACCAAATTGGATGGGCAAAAGTTGTTCAAATAAAGCTTGATTTAAAATTTCGTGTTAACCCCTATTCTTTTGAAAATGAGTATTATTATATCTGCTTGCCATCAAAGAAGACGTTAAATTTAGAAAATGTAATTTCTTTTTCTTTCTGTCCGTGCATTTCTGTTTGCGGTTTATTAAATGGGGAAAAAAGTGGAGAGATGTTAGGTGTCTTAAAGTTTGAGAGTTTTATTTGAAGCTGAAAGTTGACAATGCTTAAAAATAAAAATCATTGAAATACATGTAAATTTATGGTGCTGCTTTATGTATCTAACCGATTGTATTATGTGCCTAATTAAAGATTACATTTATGAGTCATAAATAATCTATTTCTAAAGTAACAGAAGTGAATTTATTTTTAAAGTACCTTGAAATATTAACAATAGTTTTAGAATTCTCATATATTTTTCCTCCTTTGAGGGAAAAAATTAATTTGATTTTCCAATGGCTTTAGATGGAAAATTATGTTTTCTGGATGGCTAATGGGTCAGTGGTACTTCAGAGAAATATAAGACGCATTTTGATTAAAACCAGTAGAAGAGCTTGGTATTTGACTGGTGCTAATGAGTTCTCTTGTGTTTTACTCTTTTTCAGCGAAACCAGCAGTGTGTGTAGCAGTAGTGACACTGGGCTCTTCACCAATGATGAAGGCCGGCAAGGTAATCTTAACTTCCATCTGAGGACACTGCTTCAGTGTTAAGGGGAAGGCTAGTGATTGTCGGGGTGACGCCTGAAGGTCATGACGGTATCTGTGGCGGTGGGTCTCAAACATTAGGGCGCATGAGAGCCCCTTCAGGAGCTGTTATAGCTGCTGATTCCTGAGTTTTAGACATCTAGTAGATCAAAATTTTTGGGACCTTAAGATCTGCATTTTTCATGAGCATTTTGTTGTTGTTGTTATGTGCCATCAAGTCACCTGTGACTCCTACTCACCCTTTGTACAACAGCTCTAAACCCTGCTCTATCCCTTGCCCATCTTCTTGTCTTCGACATGCCTACCCCCATTACCCCAGTGACAGAATCAATCCATCTCATCGAGAGTCTTCCTCACCTGCACTGTCCCTCCACCCTCCCAAGCAAGACATCCCTCTTCTAGGACTGGTCCTTCCTTGCAGTGTGTCCATAGTAGGTCAGGTGAAGCCTCAGAATCCTTGCCTCCAAGGAACAGCCTGCCTTCACCCTCTCCAGGACGAACTTGTTTGTTCTCCTAGCAGTCCATGGTATATTCAATACAGTTCTCCAACACCACAACTCAGTTCTCCTTCTGTCATCCCAAGTCATTGTCCAGCTCTCTGATGTATATTGACTGTCAATCCTGTAGTGAGGACCTTTGTTTTATTGTCCTCCTCATTTTTAGCAAGGAGGGTTGTGTCATAATGCAGATTGTTGATGAGTACCTCCAATCCTAGTTTTAAAGAAAATTTTATTTTATACTGATTTATTTACAAAGCTCATATATGTAGTTTTTCATGCCAGATCTTTTCCATTTCCTTCATTCCCCCCCATTACACTGTGCGACCCTATGATTAACCGCCCTCATCCCCATTCTTACTCCTCTGCTCCTACTCTTCCCCACATTGGATCATCATACTCATTGTACAGTAATGGTGGTGGTGTTTGTTGTTGTTATGTGCCATCGAGTCGTTTGTGACTCATAGCGACCCTATGTACAACAGCCCTAAACCCTGCTCTATCCTGTGCCAATCGCACTGCCTCTGACACACCCATCCCAATTACCCCAGTCACTGAATCAATCCACCTCATAGAGGGTCTTCCTCTCCTGTGCTGTCCCTCTACCCTACCAAGCATGATGTCCCTCTCCAAGGACCTGTCTCTCCTTACAACATGTCCAAAGTATGTCAGATGAAGCCCCAGAATCCTTATTACAAGTCATTCAGACTTTGAGATTCATTCGTCTAGGGATTTACAGTAACAAGTAGGGAACTTTGGAAGTTGTTTCCTTATTTTTTGTTGTTGTTTTATGCCATCTAGTTGTCTGTGATCCTGTGTATAATAGCTCTGAACCTTGTTTTATCCTGAGCCAGTCTCATCTACCCCCATTACCCCAGTAACTGTGTCAGTCCATCTCATCCAAGGTCATTGTCTTCTGTGCTGTCCCTCCACTCTTGCAAGTATGATGTCCTTCTCTAGGGACTGGTCCCTCCTGGCCACATGCCCACAGTATGTCAAATGGAGCTTCAAAATCCTTGCCTCTAAGGAGCAGTCTGGTTTTACCCTCTCCAGGATAAATCTGTTGTTCTCTTGGCCACTATGGTATATTCAGTGCTCTTCTCCAGCACCATAACTCAAAGGCATCAATTCTTCTGTTGACTCTAGTCATGTCCAGCTCTCTGACGCATAGCAAGTAATTGTGAAGACCATAGCCTTAATCACACCTTAGTCTCCAGACTGACGTTGTTACTCTTTAGCACCTTGGAGAGGTCCCTGACAGCACCTTTTCCCAGAGCAATTCTTTTGATTTCTTGATTGCTGGTTCCAAGCGTATGGACTTGATCCAAGAAAGCTGAAATTATTACCAACTTCAGACTCTTTGCCATCTGTCTTGGTGCTACCATTTGGCCCAGTGGTGAGAATCTTTGTTTTCTTGATGTTGTGCTTCAATCCATATTGAAAACAGCAGTCCTTGACTTTTTGCAGCAAATGCTTCAGGTCCTCCTCAGTTTTGGTGAGCAAGATTATATCATCTGCATAATATAGGTTGTTGATGGTTCTTCCGCCAATCCTAATGCCGCATTCCTCCTCATAAAGTCCAGCTTTCTGGAATTATCTGTTCTGCATATAGTTTGAAAAGGTATGGAAACGAGACACCTCCCTGATGCACTCTTCTCCTGATTTTGAACCATACAGTGTTTCTTTGCTTTGTTCTGATGACTGTCTCCTAGTCCAAGTCTAAGTTTCTCGTGAGCACAATCAGGTGTTCTAGAATTCCCGTTCCTCTCAAGGTTAGCCACAGTTTGTTATGATCCACACAGTTAAATGCCTTTGCATAGTCAATGAAACACAGATAGGCATTCCTCTGGTACTCTTTGCTTTCGACTAAGATCCATCTGACATTGGCAGTAATGTCTCTGGTGTCAGGGCCTCTTCTAAACCTGGCCTGTATTTCTCGCAGTTCTCTGTTGGTGTGCTATTCCAGTAGTTTTTTGAAAATCTTCAGCAGGATTTTGCTTGTATATGATATTGTTCGGTCACTTTTTTTTTAGAATGAGAATAAATATGGGTCTCTTCCAGTCAATTGACCAGGTTGTTGTCCTCCAGATTTCCTGGCACAACTTGGTGAGAATGTCTAGGGAAGCATCTGTTGAAATATGTCAGTTGATACTCCATCAACTCTTGGGGGTCCCTTTTTTTTCCCCTTCCTTGTTGCGTACCATCAAGTTGGATCCAGTTGGCACAGAGGAGATTGTCCCTCCTTTAGTGGAGCATCTCGTGGATTTGAACCGCACACCTTTGGGATTGCAGCTCAGCTTCTTACTAGGCCACCAGAGCTCCTGAGGCCTTGTGTTTTTTTGCAGTTCCTTCAGAGAAACTTGAACTTCCTCCATCATCACCATTGCCTTTTGATCATTCATTGCGTTGTTTCGTGAAATTCTCACATGTCAGCCAATTCCTTTTGGTACAAGGACTTCTTATACTCCTTCAGTCTTCTTTTAATGCTTCCTAGATCATTCAGTATTCTGCCCAGAGCATCTTTAAGTATTGCAACTTGATGCTTGAATTTGTTTTTCAGTTCCTTCATCTTAAATGCTGAGCAAGTTCACTCCTTTTGGTTTTCCAACTCCAGCTCTTTGCTCGTTTAATAAATAACTATCCTCTTGTACTCTCCTCCCACCTTTTTTTTAAAAAAAAAAGTTGATGGGAAAATAAATATTCTTATTTTTCCATAAGGGGAAGATAGAGATTTCTGTAACCTTATGAATCACTGATAATGTTCTAGGTGAATATATCAGAATCTTGCTAAAGTTAAAATTACTGACATTCAGTATACTGCACTGTGATATAAGGCTGCTGTTCTGTGCTGTTGAGGGGGCTGCAACTCATAGCAACCCTGTGCACAGTGACTCTAAACCCTGTTCTGTCCTGAGTCAGTCTCACTGTCTGTGACACACTTACCCCCATTACCCCACTTACTGTGTCAATCCATCTCATCTGGATCTTTCTTTCCTGGGTTGTTTCTCTACTCTTCCAAGCATTATGTCCTCCTTCAAGGACTGGTCCCTGACCCTGGCAGCATGCCCAGAGTATATGAGATGGAGCTGCAGAATCCTTGCCTCCAAGGGGCAACTTGGTTTCATCCTATCTAGGGTTAACCTGTTTGTTCTCTTGGCAGTCCATGGTATGTTCAGACCTCTTCTCCAGCACCACAACTCAAAGGCATCAATTCTTCTGTCATCTTTGGTCATTGTCCAACTCTCTAATGCATAATAAGTAATTGTGAAGACTATGGCTTTAATCAGGCACACCTTAGTCTCTATACTGACATTTTTGCTCTTTAGCACTCAGTCCATGAGAGCCGATTTTCGTAATACAATTAATCTTTTGATTTCCTGACTGATGCCAAGAGTGCTGGTTATGGAACCAAGCAAGCCGTACTTGTTAACAATCTTGATCTCCATACCCACACTTACTACTGCATTGTTCACAAAGGCAAAGAGATGGAAACAATCCAAGTGCCCATTAGCAAATGAATGGATAGAGAATCTGTGGTATATTCACACAGTGGAATACTATGCAGCGTTGTAAAACAAGGAACTCATGAAATATACAAAATGGGTGACCCTGGAGAACATTATGCTGAGTGAAATATCTCCATCACAAAAGGACAAATACTGCATAGTGCCACTGTTGTAAAAAAGGACTGACATGGGAGTTGGGGGGAACTAAAAAAGAGGGGATAAATAATGTACACTGCATTGAAACAGATAAAGGAGAGAACTGCTTAAAAGGAATATATGATTAGGTATTATTTGTATGACAGGAGTCGAGAATAAGAGCTGCATAGTAAAGTGGACTAGGGGGGATTGTACAACAATGAAAGAATTTTTTTCCACAAAGAGAAAAGTTAACTGGCGGGGAAAGGTGTGCGAGGAGGAAAATATGTGACAATGAATGAATGGAAATCCATGTTCTCTATAAACTTTCAGTAACATCTCAATTACAAAAAAGAAAAGTGAAAACAAACACCCCCCCCCCCCAATCCTGATCTCTTCTCCATCGTGGTGCTGATTGGCTCAGTTGTGAGAATCTTTGTTTTCTTCATGTTGTGCTTCAATCCATATTGAAGACTACAGTCCTTGATCTTCTACAGCAGATGCTTCAGGTCCTTCTCAGTTTCAGCAAACTTGTGTCGTCTACATAACAGAGGTTATTGATGAGTCTTCCTCTCATCCTAATGCCACTCCTCCTCATAAAAGTCCAGCCTGAGTGATCTGTTTCACATATAGATTGAAAAAGTATGGAGACAAGACTCACCTGATTCAGTCCTTTCTTGATGTTGAACCATGTAATGTTTCCTTGTTCTGTTCTGACTCCTGCCTCTGAGCATAGTCAGGTGTTCTGGGATTCCCAATCTTCTGAAGAAGGTTAGCTACAATTTGTTGTGATCAACACCGTCAAAATGCCTTTGCATGGTCAGTGA